ACTCGTCAAACAATGAATGAAATCGTCTGTGAACCGCGGCTTCAAGTTGAATCGAAAGTTCCGTTCCTGTCTTTCCACCAACCGACCAACCAAAGAATCTCTTCACATTAAATTCGAAATTTAAAACTTTGTTCCACAAATCATTAACGCCACAGAAACGCGCTTAATTTGTTTATAAACGAATTTTGTTGAGCCCCAGAAAACCCATTCATTTCTTGTGAAACAAAATACTTTATGTCGACTTCCGTCACATAAACAACGAACAGAAAATCTAATCATATTTTTTTCTGTTGTTAATAAACACAAAATTCCTCCAAATTAAATTTATTCAAACGAGAAAAAAAAATTTCTTCGAATTGTTTTGATACGCAGTTTTCTTCGGTTTGAACGAAAGCAACGCTGTGATTGGTCGTTCGTGCGATCGTTTCTCTGAATTAACACTTCACTTTGACTCCGCCCAATCCATAGTGTGTGCACTCTCTCATTTCTTTGTTTGCCTTTGTATACACTGCTTGCCTTATGTTTGCTGTATTCCAATAAGAAATCAGCCAGAAGGCCAAGCGGTTGCTCAAAAGAGGACATGCGCATCACTTTCAACGAATCCTGTAGATAGCCCTAACGTTGCTTCTGCAGTAGATTTTTCGCAATAGACAGCGATAACAATTTTGATTTATAATAATTTTCGCTCGAATTTGCGCAGAAAATACAGAACGCTTCAGGGCAACCAAAGGAATTCGAGTGTCTCAGTTGAAGTTGCATGGTATTTTCATTGGCTATGTTTTATTCCGTCAGATTTACTGATTTATTTATAATGAAAAAAAAAGAGAGAAATTGACGTCAAAATATTATTTATAAACTCTAGCTTGCCCCAAAGGTTGTTTGTGAATGAAAGAAACAGAGCACAAAGGCAACGCGCGTTGGCAACGAAATATAAGAACAGAGAAGCAAAATGTTCGCGATGTGTCTGCAGACAAATATACTTACCGCTTTGTTGATTCAGTGCACATAAACAACTGAATTTGTTGCATTTAGAGTTTTTTGTCACAATTTTGCGCTTCAAGTATCACGCACAAAACTACGTTCAATTCTTTTTTCGCATTGAAACAACAAGACTTTTTATAGTTCAAGTGGAGTGTACCAAAGCGAAGCAAAAGCAGAGAAAAGAGAATAAAGAATTGAATGAAATCTTCAAGAATGTTTGAAGTAGTTTCTTAAAATAGGTTTTGTGCATCGACTTTTCACTAAATACGACGCTAATGTAGATAAGCTAATCTCTTTATGCTGAAGCAATTACAGTGTTTTCATTGCTAATAAATGCGATTATATTCAGTTTCATTTGTATTCATGCCAATGGGTTGTATTTGCAAGGACGTGGAAAAGCACTCGAGAAACTCGATGGGGTGTCGATCAAGTCTCTTTTCAATTGTAACGCAAATTTGCTGGAATCGAAAAAAGCACACGCCAAACAAAAATATACGCTAAAAACTGAAGGGAAACCAAGATGAAATGTGAACTTAACGGAAGCTTCGTATCAACTTTTCAAACTAGAACACATAACTCATCGATAGATGGCGTTGGACGGTAAAATTACGAATTCTATTAAGAAGTATAATAAAAAAAACGTCTTTTGTAGAAACACAATTGATTTATTTCAATAAAAACAACCCAAAGATCAGAATAAATAGAGAAAAGAAAAGTATTTTCTTCGACAACAAAAAAAAAAAAACGATTAATCCAAACGACATCCATTTCAGCAAGGCATTCAGTTTATTAAATAAGTGTTCGTATTGTTACTGAGCTTAAAATACAAGTTTTGTTTCTCACTTCTTTTTTGTTTTGTCTTTAAATAGATCATTTCTCTCATTCTAAACGTAATTGTGTACAGTATCAATTCAATCGATTAAAACAAGTAGTGTGTGTGTGATTTTAGCCATGTGATTTTAAATGCTCGTGGCTTTATTTCTCTTATACATGTCATGCATCCGAAAATTCATTTCCTAGTTGATTAGTGTAGTTCCTTTTGTTTTTTGGCAATCGAGCATACAAAATCGCATGGGAATGCTAAGAAAATGGAATCGAAAAACGATTATTTTTTGGGGGAGAGGGGAGGGAACTTATAACTCTATCACACGTAATCCAATTGAATGGTCATATGCTTAATGCCGATCGATTCAAATATCATTCGAGTTTGTTTCGTTACGTATTTGGCATCTGCATTTTCCGATACTTCTAATTTGATGGCGCCCACATACACATCACTGCATAAAGTCCAAAAGTGTGGCTCTTGCACGCTGTACACACCAGCAAGACCAGTCAATTTCTGGTAGCATTGTGACAGTGGATAGTCAAGGTTTGGCGGTTGTCGCATCATCAATACTTGAGCAGACTCTTTGATCAGACCGATAACACTGGCTGCAATCAAAAGGGCAATGAAAATGGAACAAATTGGATCTGCTCGCATCCAGCCGAAGAGATGCATCAACACGGCCGATATGATAACACCAACCGAACCCAATGTATCAGCAAGAATGTGGAGGAAAACACCGCGCATAATTTGAGAATCACCTCCACTTATTGGTGCCGCCGGGGTATGATTATGACTATGGCCATGTCCGTCATGTGAATGACCATGATTATCCATGAAGTTATTATGCGAATGGCCATGATTATTCATCAATAGATCATTGTGTTGGTCATGCGAATGCGATGAATGGCTGTGACCATGTCCGCCTCCTCCGTGCGAGTGTCCGTGGCCATGTTGGAATGCATAGATACCAATCAAATTGACAAGGAACCCAAGTATCGACACAACAAATAAACGCTCATGTTTCACCTGCAAAATTATATTGAGTTAAAGAGGATTGTTTTTATTGGATGTATTTTAAATGAAATCTCTACCTCTGGTGGTTCAATGGCGCGTTCAACTCCCTCTGATAATATAAAGAACGAAATAAATAACAAGAACAAACTGTTCACAAAGCCAGCTAACACTTCGGCTCGTACATAACCATACGAATATTTGTCATTGGCTTTCCATTTCGTGATTACTGACGCAACTAAACCGGCCATCAATCCAGTACAATCGAAGAACATATGGAACGAATCGGATATCAAACCTAGCAATTTAAATAAAATCGTAGCTTTAAAATTTAATCGGTCATAAATTTTTTATATCGTGTAATAGAAGAAAACACTTACCCAAACTATTAGTTGCAATGCCATAGAAAAGTTCTACAAAAGCGAAACTCAAGTTCAACAATAAGAATAGGAAGAGATTCCTTGAATTACGATCGGAGAATATGAGACGCTTCCAATCATTCAGTTTGGTTTTGATGCGATACAAAAGGCTGCGATGATCTCGATGTGTGAGCGGAAGCATTTTGAATCACTTTTTTTTCTATACAATTTATGTGAAGTGGGTGATTTGGCTGTGGACGATAAATACACGTGCGGACTGGAAGATTGATGTGATGTTAAAAGACACTCGAAAAATGTCTCTTGCGGCCAAATAGCCAAACCTGGAAAGTAAACAATGATAACATAATGTATGAGGAGGGTAACAATTGTAAAAAAAAACCAACACAAAAGAAATTGAAGTGTGACAATGATCAACAAAAAATTATCACTCATTACACGTTCAGAATGTAAACTTTTGACGACAGATGCGTGTCTGTTTTGATAAGAATATTAATTGAAACGATGACGAATGACACCATTCCAGGCCTATTCATTTGGATTAGACTCAACATTTTTTATCAATTACAACTTTAAGATTTCTATTTTGTACTTGTCTACGTGTCACTTTTTCTTCGTTTATTGTTTGCTTTTGTGAAAAATCAAGCATAAAACGAACGATATAGTTGTGCATAAATTAACGCCCGTATCCAACATATCATCAAAAATCAATTATCAACAGACAGAGCGTCTAACCTCAACATGCATTAAACACGACACCGATTGCAATGCTTCTTCCGTGCATTCATTCTCACAACAATAAACAATTGAATGAAACGATTTAAAAATTCACTGGAAAAAATGGGCTCAAGTGCACTGAAACCAAAATACATAATATTTATGCAGTTTTTTTTCCCTTCGTTATGGTTGTCGGCGGCGACTCAACTAATACGATCATCATATTCGCATAGCACAATAAATTTGATTGCCACTACTATGACCATCAATCGTAAGATAGTATGTCAATTTCAAAGAATAAATTTGTGTCTTAAATTACCTTTTTTTATCTCGTTATCTATGCACTTAAAATGTGTTCGGCAACATTTTGAAACAACGTTTTGCTTCGGCTAACTTATTTATTCCCTTACTTTAATGACGATTTTTATGAAATTATCCCTTTTTCTCACTTAGAATATATAAAATACACTTTTATTTTTCACAAATCAAAATCAAAGTTGACACAATTTGGCGGTGATTTCGGCAAATTACCTTCTGTTTCGGTATTCAAACAACAAGGCATTTATCACACAGACTAAATTGTGTCGAGCACGTCATCAGTATTTTCCGTGTATTTTTTTTCCTTCTTCTTTTCGTCTCAGTGCTGGTTTAGTTTGTGTGAACTGTCAAAATAAACGTACAGCTGAATTCAGAAAATATAACCACTTTGTCAGCAACTTGGTGCACGGTGACGTTTCAAAGCAGACACAACTGTCACGCACTTGACATCGTTCATATGGTTTTTTTTTGTTTCAAAGTATTCTTTTAGGGAATTTATCAAATTGCCGTTTATCACATTACAGTTTTTTTTTAAATCATTCATTTAAAATATGAAAAAAAAACAAAGAAAAATGAGAGTTTCAGCCATAAGAATTTATTTGAATTTTTCTTCGGTACAAACACATGCTGCTTCTATGTATATGTAATTTGACTAAATCAATGCGATGTACTCGTTCAGCTGACCAGATGAGTTCAGCTGAGGTCATTTGAACAGCTGTTAAAAATTGATAAAATCATACTCGCGCTTCATTCGTAATGTTAAGCGTAAGATTTTCTTTTTGTCATCCCAATGCGCCTTGCCACGATCTGGATCCGTTGGTTGAACCAATGGCAATTTTAATCGATAGACTGGCGTTCGCAAGTCAATTTCATTCTGAGTAACGTCCAATTGCATTCGATCAATGCTGACAATTTCTTTTGGCATTAGGATTTCCAAACACAATTCTTCACAACTTGATGTTGCCGCCGTTTTATTGCCCATTTGCAGATAAATATCCTCGGGTGTTACGGATTGCTTGTATACAATGCGATATTCGGGTGTGATTCGATCTTCTAGTTCATCATCATTCACAATGGCATCCTGTTCTTCCCATTCGACTACGGTTTGGTTCAGTGCAGTATTTCTAAAACGTTGCCTTTCTCCCAAAAGGCTCGATGCTGCTGCTTCAGCTGACGATTTGTCATCGTTTTGACCTTGAGTTATGGAAGTAGTCGATGGTGTTGAAAATTTTATACCAGTACTTGGAACACGGTCGTCGGGCTCCTCGTCAGACGAATTTCGCTCCGGCTCAGTTAATAAATCTTGAATTAATTTCAAATTACTCGAATTTTCAAAATAATCCATTTTTACTCTTCACAAAATCTAACTCAACTCGAATGGTGTCAAAATCACTGAAAAAAACATCGATTGTCACCCTAGCAACCTCTTATTTAGAAATGTCGCAGGAACCCTTTTAAATGTGCATAGCAACAAAATTTGTTAGTATGAAAATTCAGTCACAAAAAAAACTAGTTTGTTTGTTAGTGGGATTAATTCCGATTGAAGTTTTTTTCGAATCAATTTTTCGAAAAATTAATTTCCTGAAGGAAGAAAAATTTGAAAAACCGAAATTCTCGAAAAAAATAGAAATTCGTCCAGTCAAAGATGGTTTCATTGAACAATATAAATCAGCACATAAGTGCTGTGATGGAGACGATGGGCTGGCCAGAGGATGCATTTATGCCAATTGCAAACAATGAAAACAGGCAACTCATGGAAAGTATTGAGCAGCAGATGGAAGCAAAGAAAATGAAGACCGAACATCGTGAGCAGCTCAGCGAAAGAGTGAAAATGTTGAGAGAGCATTTTCAAAATGCCCAAGTTGGAGTGGTACAAAATTTGGTAAGATCAAATAATAATTTTTCGAAAAGGAACAAATAACGTCACTAAGCGAATGCCATAAAAATTGATTTGAAAATATTCCTTTGCAGAAACTACTTGATGCACATCGACGACAATGCGATAGCGAATATCATATGTTCAAGTTGGCTGAGAATGAGCTATCCACATCCGATAATTTGAAGGCGGATGTCAAAAAGGAAATTATCGATTTGGATGGAAAAAATCATAAAATCGAAAGTAATTGTCAACAAGGGAACACATTTTATATTGGATTTTATGAAAAAAAAAAATCTCATTTTCACAGAGGATATGAATCGGCTGAATGAGAGAATAGACAGTCTCGGTACTGATATGCAGTGGATGAAGAATGCGCTCATCGAATGGGCCCAGGCGATCGATCACGATGATCAAACAAATGCTCTGATTGAAAAGTACTGTAAGGAGGATAAGAAAAGGGCTGATGTGAGTGAATCGAAAATATTTATACGTTTATCTTAATCTTTTTTTCATTGCAAACAAAAATTGATTTGATCTTCTAAAACAAAATCACTGCAGACATTTGAGGTGCGACGACAAGCAGCACAAAAAGCAATTACAAAGAATAAGAGTCGCCTGACCGAATTGGAAAGTGAGAAACAATCACTTGAACATGTGTTGGATCGAACGAGCAATTTGTATCGACAAACTGTTCTTGAACGTCGGCAAATGACTGCGACATGGACAACGGCCGTGAAATCATTGAATGCGCGTAACATTTCGATTCGTGAAACGATGGAGGTAGATGACATCCCATTTCATTGAAAAATTAAGAACAAATAAGTAAATATTTGAGCCTAACATTGATTAATTGCAGAAAATAGCACAAACAAAAATGCTTGGCGAGCGTAAAACCATTGAGTTGAAGGAGCAATCGGAATTTCTCAACCAACAAATCCAAAACAACAAAGAAAGTGAATTTATGATTGCCGAACTAAATGAGCAAATTTCCAGAGTTAGAATTCTATTGGGTCGACACATCGATGAGATTCAATTGAAAACAAATGATTTGATTACGTTGAGGCGACAAATGCAACACGACACCAATTGCTTGCAACAAATGCGGCAAAAAAATCATAAAGCCAGTATTGAATATGATGAAAAGACCAAGCAGATTGTTAAATTGAAAGAAATTGTCAATGAGTTGGCATCGAAGGTAGGGAAAATTCAAGATGAGAAAAATAACGCTGAATATCGGTTGAGACATTTGGACGAACTATTCGAAGATGAAGAGAAATCAATACACGCCATCGAATTGGAAATGGTCAGGCTTTCACAGATGGTTTACCGATCGAGTCAAATCATACAACAGCAAAACGACGAACAAAAATTGATTGAGGTTCGTTAAAAAAATGTGTAATTGATTAGAATAACAAGTAAATTCAAGTAAAAATGATTCATTCCAGACTGAAATACACACCTTAGAATCATCCATAAAAGCCATAAGCGCCAACTATTTGAATCAAGAGAAGGAGCTCGCCCGTCAAATGGAAATGCAATACGATATTGTAAGATGGTTAAAAATTAAGATCATAATTGTCCAGAAAACTAATACACCTGCATATTTCAGCATTTCAAGGCATTCAAAATGGAATATCGTGTAGCTAAAATGCAAGGCGAATTAAAGGAAATGGATCCGGAATTGATTCAGAAATATGAAACGCTTCAGCTATTATGTACAAAGACTCGCGATAAACGCGACAGAGTCAAGAGGGAATTGTGTTCGGCTGAAGAAACCGAACGCCGGTTGAAGCCGTTGCTGTTTGAAAATCAAACCGAACACGTTGAATTGATGAACAAGCTTCGAAATCGGCAGTCAGAGTGTGAGGCTGGTCTACGATTGATCGGTTGTAATCGTGAACAGTTGCACGAACGATTAGTGGAACACAGTTTGCTGAAAATGCGAGTCCACCAAATGGCCGAGATGTACAACAAGCAAATGGAGAAGTTCTACGATTTGGAACAACATAAATTACAGTTACAACTGGCGGTTGATGAGCGTTTGATCGATTTGCGGTGCCAAATGGATTTGTTGGCCAACAAGCGAAAGCATTTACGTGCCGAACGGGATCAATTAAAAGCGGATATCAATGAACGGAAAATCAAAATCGATGCGTTGAAGGCACGTTTCGAGTTGACCAATGAGTTGCTTGGGAGAAATGAAGATGGAACCGCAGTTAGTGCAATTCAATTGAAAATGGAAACAGCACAAGAGAAAGCACTTCTTCTGGAGCAGGGCAGTAAATTGAATGAAAAAGTCCTGAATGCTGAAGCTGACATCAAAGCATTGGAAAATACTTTGATTCTTCTGAATTTCTCAAACGATAAATACAAACGGAAAATGGGACAAGTGCAGGATAATGGTAACACTTGGTTCAAAAGAGGATTTTGAATATTCAATACGTTACTAATTTATTCATCATTTTCAGAGGAGTTCAATGAAAAAATGCAAAAACTTAGCAACGAGTATGCGACTGCATTGAATCGATTGAAGTTGACAAAAAATGATTTTGAAAATGAAACAAAAAAACTAAACGAATTACAACGCCAGTACGAACATTTCGAAATTGAACTGGATGAGATTACACGCAATCGATTGGAGAATAATGATGCGCTCATAAAAATACACAAAGAAATAATGGAACAAAATTCCAAGATTGAACGGGCCAAACGTGAATTGAAAATTGCCAGAAAGGCGATGATAAAGAAAGTTGGCGACCGAGAATATGTTCGATTGCTTGAGGTTCGTTGATTAAACGGGATATATTTTGTTTTTGGCTTTAAAAAATTTAGTTTGTGGCAATTTGTGTCTATGAATTTCTATTATTTGCTCAGAAAAAAGATTCTTTTTGGGAAAAAGAAATGAATTTGTATGAAAAATATTTGATTTTTGTAGAAAGACCTAACAACAAAGGAGATTGAAAGCCGAAACACGGCTGCACTTAACCAACTGGCCGATATGATTGACACCATACCCGGTTTGAGTCTAATCGTTAACAAACTTCTGTACGAAAAAGGCTTAGAAATTCCGATGCATAATCAAAGTAGTCGAGAATCGATATCGCTGACACGAGTCAGAAGCCGAGCGGCTTCAATGCGTAGCTCGGGACGAGCAAGTGAATGCAGTCTGACAGTCAACAGCCGTGAAGATGATGGAATTATTTCAAGACGTAGGTTCCACATTGATTTTCAATTCTCTTCCAACACATTTTAAAATTTTCTTTTAATTCAGTGTCGCAACGTTCATTTGTAACCACGTCATCGAGTGTATCGGGAACATCGACGACCAAATCAACAAATAAATCGGGGAAAAGCATGACTCACACTTCGTCTTCGTTAAATTTCCGAATTGAAGGACAATCTATACGTGGCGATAAGCCGACAAAATAAAATGAAAAAAATCTGTTTGAAAAAAAATCATTTCTTTTGAATTTCCCACACAGAATCGATGCACATACATTATCCATATGACTTTGTAGCCAACTTCATACCCTATTGTAAAAATGGCAATTGTAAACAGAAATGACATTTCGAATAAACATTTGTTTTGTGTCCAAATATAACTTTGAATTAAAGTAGTCTATTGATTGGATATTTGAAACCAAAGTTTTCACTTGCCAATGGATAGAGAGTCATAATGGCATCAGCTGCGTATATTCCCCGCAATAATGAGAATGGTTTGTAATAAAAGTTATCACATTGGAATTTGATTTTGTAATATTTTTCCTCTATTTTAACAGCACTCGAATCACCCAACTGGCGATTCCGGTGTGACTTTTGCCCAAAAATATTCTACATGGAAGACAGTTTCAATGAGCATACCTTAAAGCATTTCGAAAAGAAAAACTGTCTGAATTGCAAAAAGATTTTGATCCGTATCGGTAGTAAGTGGTATGAACCGCACATTGATGACCTACAAATAGATGAAACAGAGCAAAAAGTCGAGTTTATTGATTCAATGGTCAAAGTTAAAGTGGAAAATTGTGAAGATATAACTGAAATCAATGATCCGAATGAGGATGACACAAGTTCTCATAACGACGTCAAATCGGTATTGTTTGATGTTCCAATCATCCCCGTTGTTAGATCCATACAGTTAGATGAACATCGAACTAAAGTACGGCATAAACCATATCGAAAACCGATGAAAAAAGATCCAAAAAATTGTACAAAATCGCCTGAAGCTGGTCTACCGAGAAAGAGAAAAGTGTCCCGAATTAAATGCCGAATATGTGATAGACTCATCCAAAAACACAACTTTGAAAATCACTTACAGAAGGCACACGTGCCAAGTGTAATTATGTCGAAAGAAAAGAAGGAAAAGATCGAATGTGAAACATGTGGTAAATCATTTGCCAACAGTCAAAACCTAAAAATCCATCAGATGATACACAGTGGAACCAAACGATTTGGTATATATTCAAAAGATGCTTTATTTTCATCCGATGAAAAAAAATAATTATTTTTATCTTCAATTTTCAGTGTGCACTTATTGTGGTAAAAGTTTTCGGCAACTATATCATCTGACCGAGCATATGAATGCTCACACTGGGAACAAACCATACGAATGCAAGGAATGCAAGAAATGTTTCTTCAGGCTAGTGACTCTACGCACTCATGAACGAATTCACAGGTGAGTGTTTGGTACGTAGTGATACTGAAATGCCTTTACTCGCAGTGAAGAAGGTACACTCACATATCTAAAAATCATCTAATTCTAAAACTCTCTCTAATTGCATTCACAGCGGAAAAAAGCCATACAAATGTTCGATTGATGGTTGCGACAAGGCTTACGCTCATAGCATCGACTTAAAAAGGCACAAATTCAGCGCACATGGTATTTATACCAAAAAACACATTTGCTCATTTTGTGACAAAGTTTTTCCGGAAAATAAGCTTTTAAAAAAACACCTGGACTCTCATTCAACGGGTAATATTCGATAGGCAGCATCTGGATTCTAAAGGAATCTCTGTAAATCGGATTAAGTTTTTAGACTGTTACTACTTCTAATTAATTCAAATAAATAAAACATAGTATTTCCATAGGAACGTTCATGAGTCGGATTTATTCATTAAACTATTTTTCAGCCAGTGGCAGTCATATCAGGAAAGACAAAAAATTCAGTCATGAACCTTTTGCATATGTTTTCGTAGAAATTTCGGTTCATAGAAAACCTTTGAACACTTTGTACAATTGAATACTTTATCGATGATTCCGTGTGCTGATCGTTTGTGGCGTTTCAGATCTGTGTTGTACGCGTACGATTTCTCATTGCAAATATCGCATTTATATGGCTTCTCACCAGTGTGTGTGCGCTTGTGGAGATTCAGTCCAGAAAGGGTGCGGAATGATTTGCCGCAGACTTTGCATGTGCACGGTAGTTGATTCTGATGAATCAGTTGATGCCATTGCAGATTTGACGGACGATTGAACACTTTGCCACAATCCTTGCACTCAAACCGCTGCTTCTCCAAGTGGATTTGATTGATGTGCGATTTCATGATGTAAACATTGGAAAATGACTTGTGACAGTATTCGCAAATATTTGCAACGTTGCCTTTCTTCTTCTCCTCGTGGAATCGATTGACGTGCAGTTTGAGTGAGCGTACGGAGAAAAATGTGGTCTTGTGACACACAAAGCATTCATATGTGATATTGTCAAGTTTCGTTTTAGCAACACACTTGTTGCTCAAACGATGATGCTCGAACTGACGATCGCCGACCAATATTTCGCCACACGTAGAGCAGGTGTACGTTTTGAAATGGTCACCAATGTGTGTGTTACGATCATCTCGAGATGTGAACTTTTTGTCGCAAATATCGCATGAGTATTCGATCTGTTTGACGCATTGAATTTCAAGAAACACTTCTGTTGTTGTCTCATCGTCCGGCACAACGTATTCAATTTCAGTTTCACAACCATCGTTCAGGTCCAGTTTCGGTACGGCCCAGTCATTGAGTTCTTTGCTGACATTCACTGTGAACATGTATGCGGGGAAATGAGCGTCGCAAATGGCATGTTTCTTTTTAATCCCCTTTACATCCATGTTTATTGCATCACACCACGCCTTTCGACTTGAAAGTAAGAAAAAAAAGGTCAAATGAAGACTTTTCTCTAAGGGAAAATCATTTCGAATATTTGAAATCTTACGCTTTTAAATCAGTTGGAAATCGATGGAATTCAACCAAGCTAGTTGGACTCAGGATATTTTCACATGTTTTAACACAACATTTGGTCCCAAATGGAATTTCGGCGCTCATTTTTTATTCGATCCAATATTTTGTCGTCTGGAATTGCTCACTCAGAATTTAATAACTGTTTTTTTTTAGAATTTCTTTTGTTTTAGGGACACGCAAATCCAATAGGGAAAGCATACGATTTGGCTTCATCAAGAATAATACACGAAATATGTCAGTGTAGTGACAGTTGTCGGAATTCAGCAATTGACGGTGACAACCCTGCCACTGACACTGACGTTTCGTGTATGGAATTTGTTTTTTTAATATAGCCTTGTAGGATTCATCGTAGCATTTTTGTACACAATTCAGATTAATTCGTACGATAAAACATTCTAAACATTTTTTAATACAATTGAAACTGAAACATTTTAAGTAGCTGCTTCAAGATGCTGGCCGGTGCATCGCTTGTCGACATTCGAAGGAGACAAATTGATACGCTGAAAATTTTCAATAACAAGTAAGCATTGTTTATTCAGGCATTGAAAATGCATTTTGAATGTCATTCGAAATTGGTTTTAATTAAATTGAATGCAATTTGCAGTGTGATCGAAGTGAAAGCGAACGAGGAATATTCCGTGGGTTTTCAATCGGACGATCGACAAATGGTGCTAAATGTGTATCTCGGAGCAAATTTCCCAAATGATAAGCCGAAAATTGTGGTCACGCCGAAAATACAGCACGAATGGATACCAGATCCAGCGAATGGCGAAGTACAGACCGCCCCAGGCCTACGAAATGTAAATGAAATCATGGCTCAAACGCTAAAATCAGCTCTTAACACATTTTTCCTTCATTTTTTACAGTTTTCATTGCATTCCGATCTTGGACGCGTTGTTCAAGCGATAATTCGTGAATTTGAAAAATTTCCTCCGTCTCTTTGGCCAAATGCCAGCGCAGGTAGTGTTCAACCAAAGCCGGCTCAACCGCATTTACCCGAACCGAACAAATCCTCCATTCCCGAATTGTGTAATTTATCGTTAGAAGAGTTGCAAAAACTGGATCAAGATCCACAATATCTCAACGATTTCGTCGATGAAATCGGTGTTGTACAACGTCTACAAAATGATTTAGACACTATAATTGAAGATATAAAATCAATGGCAACTGAGAATTTGACACGCGAACAACACTTGCAACGGTTGCGATCAACCATTGAAGAAAAGTTAGATGAATTCCGGAAGTTGGGTGGATCGTATGAATCGTTGAGTGCACGATATCAAAAGAAATCAGAAGAATTTGCTCCGCAGCATATAAAAGAACTACTACAAATTGCTGTATCTAGTGCAGACGGGATCTGTGAAACGTATGTCGAACAATTTTTAAACGGTTCCATTGATGTGCAACAGTTTCTTGATCAATATCGTGAAGCTAAACGGGTTAGTACATTACGTAAGGCAAAAGAAGAACGACTGACACATCAACTCAATGAATTCGAACGCGCCACTTTTTGAATGATTCCTATCGATATACGTAGGTATTTTTAACCAAATTGTAATTATTATGAACAGCGTGTAAATCGCAAGTAAAATAAACATAATTTTTTGTATGAGCTTATCAATTTATTATTGCATTAGCAAATTGTGTAGATGATGTTGGAATAAACGATGAAAATCAATGTTGATTGGTAATTGGTTTTTTGATTTTGGGAGCTACAGAGCAAATTAGAAACCCGAGAATCAGACTAGAGGCATTTCACTCGCATTCGAATACATGATCATTCGTGCACGAATCCTGCATTCGCAAAAAACAGTATAAGTATTTGCATTCGCACCATGTATTCGTACTGCCGCGCGAGCATACGCGCGACTCCGCATATGAAACGTATTGAAACACTCGCACATGTATTCGTCGCGAATGCGCTCAGTTGCGATGAAGTGTCAAACACAGTCAAACATGTGGAAAGATGTCAGACGTGTTTGAAAAATTACAACGTGCATTAAGTGAACCTCTACCAGAAATTTTACAATTAATTCTCACACATTCTGGATTTGATATAGAAAGCGCATTAGCCACGTTAAATACAAGCATTTGCGGTCGCAGGTGTCCGATTTTTTGCAAATTTTTTTCCGTTTGATTACAATTCTTGATTAACTGTGGCAACTGGATGATAAACAATCGGTGACCCGGTTTAAATTTAAACTTATTCACATTCTCGTATGATGTTTCTTTGAGAATTTCTGAGTTTTCAATGACATAGTTCTCGATATCTATAATAGCATCGTTGTCAATGGACATTAGAGATGATTCATTTTCGAATGCACAGAATTCCAGGATTTTAATAATATCGGCCGGCATTTTTTCATTCAAATATTTTTCTAATTTGAAAATAACATTTTCCAGTCCCTAAAATACAAAACACAACTTAAATTGATATTAAATTTGGATCGAAATAACTATTTACCATTTTGGCGAACTAATGTAAACAATGTAGTTGCAACGATTAACACAACAAATCAATATAGATCTGTCAAGTGCATTTTTTTTAAATTTATTCACCGTCTAATCACAGACTGAATAGCATAATACAATTTGTACACATTCCATAATTTTACACAAACAGTGACACACCCCGAATCGGATCACCTAGCCACCAGCCCTAATGACTTCGAAGTGGCGTTCTGCGGCGACCGATTGTGTTCACCACCTCTAAACATATATTTCCTCAAATACATTGTTGTCTAAATTTGCTACATTTCTAATGAATATTTGTCTCGATGCTGAGTCTAAAAACGTTTGTTTTACTTTATTGAAATACCTACACGCTAAAATAAACGGTTGGTTACGGGCGTAGTCAGTACCATAAGTCTCAATTCTAACTAGATCTCTGTTTCTCACATTTCTTTGGTTCCTATTGTCTACTCGTCTAGTATATACAATTTTTTCTCTCAGTGCTGCGCTAATCAACTTTCCTAATAGGAGATCATAAATTAAAAATACTGAGGCATTTATACGCCGCCTCCAAAGCGGTTGAATATTCAAATTATCACATCTTAATTGGTACGATGGCAATCTGTAGTTAGCATCTCTTTGGTAAATTCCCCTAAGTGCCCAGATTACAAAGTCTTTCTGTACTGATTCAATTTTGTTAATGTATGACTGGTGATACGGATGCCACACTACACTAGCATACTCCAATTTCGATCGAACTAAGTAAGGCACAGTATAACAGTTTTGCTGATTCTATAGTAAACTTGTGTTTCAGTGTCCGCTTAATAAAACCTAATGCTCCGTAGGCGCTAGCTACTGTTGTATCAATGTGGTTGGCGAATGTGAGTTTCACGTCAAAAATGACCCCCAGGTCTCTGTGTAGCTCAACTCTACCAAACATGTGCTGCCCATTGTTTATCGTGTATTCATATCTTCGCAGGCCCCGGTTGTAATTGACAAGCTGACTACGTTTGACATTTGTATGATCCCTATCGAGAGTGTGGCAAATTCTCAAATGTGCCATTGTGTGTATCATGACGAGTCATTTCAAACATAACCTCATCTTTTTTGATTTTGTGTTGGTGTAACATGCACATTTTCATTTTATTTGATTTTATTATTAAAAAAACACAAATTTTTTTTTTTTTTAAACAAAATAAATGTTCAATCATACGGCATTCATTTTGCAAGTTTCATTTATCCGCATTTCTTGAACCAAATATTTAGCTCGTCCAATGCGCTGATTCTATGTTATTGTATGTTATACCTCTTGTTCTCGCTCAATTGGCTATGTTGAAAATGGCACAATTTCGAATGTGCCAGTCTCCCGATAGGGTTGTTGGCAACCATTGGCAACGAAGCTACTTACCGAGGCTACCGCAACGAGCGCCACAATAGTGGCGGCCTGAAGCCAGGCTATGTATCTTCGTACGGTGATGTTTTTAGCATACGTCATGACGAAACATTTCTTCAGATTAAGGTACAGCTTGTTGAGCATACACCATTCGTACAATTGGTCAATGGCCATTTGGAATAAGCGGGCATCATTCGGTGACGTGATTCTCAAAATGAGTTTTAAATCATCTGCGAACAACAAAACAAATGCATGAGTAACTAAGTCGACAATGTCATTTATAAAAATAATAAAGAGACAAGGTCCCAAGATACTTCCAGCTGGTACACCGGAAGAGACGGTGAAAGTTCTTGACTTTCTGTTGCCGATTCCAACAAACTGTGTTCGGGTTGTCAAATATGTATGGAACCATTCGCATTCGCATTCGCGCAGCAACATTCGGACGTATTTGCTAATGCGCCGTATAGATACATTAAATGGTTATTCGTACGAATGCGAATATTCGGCACGAATATCAGTATTTGCGAGTGTTTATATTCAAATGCATGGCAAAGTATTCGCGCATTCGTACGAATAGCAGTATTCGCATAGAGTGAAATCCCCCTAGGAATTAGAAAACCTCAGAAATTAGAAATGAATTTCAGGTTTGAAAATTTGTATTAAAAATTTCTAATTTCCGGGGTTCATTTCTAATTTACGGGGTTTCCGAATCATTTCATTCAAGACAAAGGGAAATTTACTTCATTTTTAATGAAAAAACGTAATGAAAGTCTTTTCCATTTCTTTGAATAACTATTATTAGCAGATCAGCTTGAGATTTTCGACGTTTACAATGAAGTTAAAAATTAAGTCAAGAAGTAATCTGTTCCATATTGTCTGCGTCAATCATCAATCATCAATCATTAACAAATCGAAACCGATTTGTTCCATCAGAGAATTTGCATATACAAAATTGTATATAGAATGCCAACGTTTTGATATAATAAGAACATCATTTATTTCGGTTTGTTCCGAGGAGAAGTTTGTTCCGAACTAACAGACTTACTATATATTTATAATCACTAAAATAACTGCTTATAAGCATGTATTTACGTACAATGCTTGATTGAACAGTGTTCAATATATTGTTTTCAATGCTTAGGATGAAATTGAAAAAACCTCAGAAATTAGAAAACTCCGCAAATTGGAAATGGCCTCGGGCAGTGTTGGGTTGAGATAAATGAAATTTATCTAGATAATTTCGAGATAATATCTTTTTTAATCAATTTTATCTAGATAATGTCGAGATAATTATCTATCTTTTGTTGAAAAAGGTAAGATTATCTTATCTTTATCTGATGTTCTAGTCAGATAAAAGCCTATTGAAGGCTATGACATTAGTTTTTTTTATAACAGAATTTTGCACTGAACATTTGTATAATTTTGAATAAATCGACAATTGGCTGCCAATTCACGTTTCGCTCCGGAGAGTTTGAAACGATTTTAGGCAGAATAAAGTGAATCAAATAGATTTTAAGGTCATAAGTTTCAAAACAACAAATTTATAATTTCATAACTTCTCGGCTTTGTATACAAAAATCAGTTTTTTCACCAAAAATTCATTTGTCATGGTGGTTTCGAATACATTGTTCAAGCCGAATATTCATATCAAATCTCACATCAGACTCATTGAAGACGGTCTATGAAACTCGAAGCATAGAGCCGAAATTGAAAATTTTCAATAATTTGAATTATTGGAGACATAAAAATTAAAAGAAAAGGAAATAATCTGTTTGTTTTGATGAATGATGAGTCGGACAAACGATTGAGAATAAAATATCAATCAAAAATTGAACGAAAATGTAAAAAAAAATGTCTAAATGTTCCGTAAAATGCAAATGTTTTTCATTCAAAACCCACCCGTTCTACTTATTAAGCCTTCGTTTATCTTAAAACTTATCTAAAATATGACAATAGATAATTAGAAAAATATGAAGAAAAGATGAAGATAAGATAAATCCGCAAAATGAATTTTTCATCTAGATAAGATAAAAGATAATATCTTATCTATCTTATCTGGTTATCTCATCTTAAAATATTATTTCAACCAAACACTGGTCTCGGGACATTTCATTTCTAATTTGCGGTGGCGTACTGTTCTTATGTTTATATGTCCATGTCTTTGTTCAATGTGCTGGCGGCATCATGAATCGTTGGTGATTGTGTGTCAACGCCGATCAAATCAGTTTGTTGCACTGGAACATCTTCATCTGCAAGAAAAATAGCGTAATAAAACTGTTGAATTTTGAAAAATAGGTTGAAATAGTCGAAATAATGTTACCTGAATCGATATTATGTATTGGTTCTGCCAAAGAAACCTCACCATTCGATTTTTCAAATAGATCTTCAATGAAATGTTCGAGTACTTCTTTCGTCACTGAATTCTGGACACTTTCGAACACCACTGTAAAAGAAAATTCAAACAAATATTGAAAATCTCGACAATGCAGCGAAAAACAAATGATTTGATGAAAATAAGGATAGTAAAATTGTACCTAGAGTAGTTTCGCGTTTGGAAACAATTTGTCTTTCTTTTCACACTTGAATTTCCACTGACTATCGCCGTATTCGCACTCGATTATTTTTCTGTCAAATTGAGTAATCTGTGTCGACACTTCCATCGTTGCAAAATGTTGTACCATCCCACCAACATATAGATAACCAACCTCCTTTGTTAAAATACTACAAATGAAACAACAAAATATGCAGTTATTGGGTGTATGCATTAAAAACGAGCGATTTTCGCCGGATGGCACCACCATCGCTGGTGGCATCGCGCAATACTGGTGCCAACTTCATATGGTAGACAGATGGTAATTTTTGTAGCCTGTCATTAGCCCAAAGTGTAAACAAAGCGAAAAATTTAGTTACTAATATGGAAAATTTCGAACCAAAAAAACGTCATTTGCGGGAGCAGTTTTTTTCATACGGGAAAAATGTGAAAAATAGATTATTCTTTATCGAGTGGACACTGGTAGTGAAGAATGGACGTTTCTCGATAGATACAAGCATATCAATCCACATTTTGATCGTGGTTACTTGTCATTATAGGGGGCGCCACAATCACTCCCTCGAAAAAGGGTGATTTTCCATATTTGCGGGGTTGGGGCAGATATGGTGCATTGGAAGGTGGTAGAAACTTATCAAAATGTTAGCTTTTATCGTTCCCAACAGAAACTAATCGGTATATACCAATTTCTGACAGCAAAATCGAAAAATTGACTTATCGCCGCAAAAAAGCGAATTTTTGAGGAAATTTTTTTAATGACTTTTTGACTATCAAGTCCAAAATTTCTAAGAAACTATTAATTTTGAAAATCCTTTATGCCCCCGCTGTAATCCTCAGACAGTGCGCTTTCTTACTACCACTGGTTTCAGTCGATTCAATATCACCTAAGTGGAGGACGGTTCACTTGTTTTCAAAAAGTCAAAAATTGGCTTGATTCGTTCTTGGCCGCCAAGCCGGCGCAGTTCTTTTGGGATGGAATCCATAAATTGCCTGATTTATGGGAAAAATGTGTCGCTGCCAATGGGCAATACTTTGATTGAAATATAATTTCACTTTGTTATTGAATTAAATGATTATTTTTCGATTAAAAAAACGCTCGTTTTTAATGCATACACCCAATAGTTTGCAATATTTTGAGTTGAACATGAAGCAAAAAGATGAGTTGAATTGGCAATTACCCAGCTCCGCTTTTTATGCCAATCTTAAATTTAAATTTAACCGAATTCATGGTCAGTGGTTTCCACTTCATCACTGCATTACATGGCCTGGAATATATGCCTGAAATGAAAAACATTTTAATTGTCTCTTTTTGATCGATTCAATGCTAACACAAATCAATTGATGAATTAATTACGTCGAGGGATGTCTGAAAAATGAGACCAACTAGTTCATGGCCAAGGGACTCGGTGAATTTTGGCGCGAGCAATTTTTTCGCTTCTATCACATCATAAAATTCTTTGAAACAAACATCGAATTATCTGCGTAGTTTTGAGATTCGATCAATGATCATCACCGCAGACTAACAAGTGTTGAAAGTCCCTAATATGCTATTCATTTCCCATTGTTATAGCCAACCATCCCGAAAAACAATTATGAATTGAAACGAAAGTCTCAACATGGAACTACTTCTATTTCAAAGAAACCGAAAACACTAAAAGGGATCGACGACATATGTGACGACGTAATCGATTTGATTCTGTGTCGTTTGGAACTAAAAGAGTTGGCAAACATTTCCGACACCAACAAACGGCTTTGAAATATTGCTGGATCAGTATTTTCTCGAAAATATGGAAATCATTTAATATCAATTGAACGCATTCCGAAGAAGACCATTAACCCAGGATTGTTTAAACGTGTACCGCTCCTTCCGATTATTCATAGGTACAAACAAATCGTTAGGATTGAAGATGCCAAAGTTTGGTTTAAGTTAGTACATAAATGTATTCGCCTCTTTTATACAGATCATCCAGCATATATTCGCCTCCTACGTACAATTGGACCGAGTTTTCCTTTTTATACTCCAAATTGTAATGGAAGCAGCGGACTGTCCATCGTTCTCATTGAATAAGCCATTGATAATTGAATAGCATAGTACCGTCTGAAAATCCAAATTGTGAAGAAATAAAATGCGTCTCTGCAATTGATTTCTTTGCTGACATTCAATCTGGGTGTGTTCCCATTATTCATCGAAATAATTGTTGTCCATATGAAGTGAAATGCCGTATGTTTGATCTTGTTATTCGTATTGCAAATTTACATTTCCTTAATGCCAATTTATTTTACAGCAAATTCTAAAAAAGACGCCATTGATCTGAGTTCAAGCTCAAAAGAAGAAAAGGAGGAAAAGGAAGACTCTGTCTGCAAATTCGGCGATTTAACTTTGAAACGTAATGAAAGTCTCGTTCCAGATAACCAAAATAGTTATGTAGTCGAATGCACCTGCAAAATGCCACCCATTTTGACATGCATCGGATATGAAAAAATTTAACCAATACGAAGAAATGAAATGCTTATATGATATCATACACATACGGAACGAACAGTATCAAATCGTGCAGCTCTTTAGAAAAAATAGAATGTTCAAAGTTTATTCGTTAAGTATGCCTGTTGAGTATTTTCGTTTCGGTTTTTGAATAAAGAGACATCATTTGGTCCACAAAAGATTAGTATGGTTTTTAAATAAAATTTTGAACTCACTTCCCAAAGGCTATGGAATGTGGTTAAATTTCATTGGTTCCAGCATGGTAAATACCATTGAAAAAAGACAAATAATACACAAAATTATTCCCAATTAAGCCATCAATGTTGCATTCAAATTGAGGAATTCTTTTCGTCGCTTCTTTTTTAGCACACCTTCGGCACTGGTACTATTCATCGTTGGCCACACCGTCTGGTTTATTTGTGGATGTTATAGTTCGTATTTATAGCGTCATGTGTTTGTATCGCATGGAACATAGAATTTGACATCGTTAAGCATTCATATACAGAATTTTACATACCTAAGTACCAACTGAGCTGTTCTGGAGCTGCAGTTACATCTTCTTCTTCTTTTTCTTCACAACGTCTTAAATTAAGAAAGCATTTAACACAACTGCCCAACCCAAAGGCAAAAGGAAAAGAAAATAAAGACAATGACGATGACGATGTCTGCATGAACATATTTATGTATATATGCCATTTTTGTATTCTCGTTTGCAGATGCCTGGTGGCCGATCGAATGCGAACATTTATCTATTGGTTTTTAGTTACTCTCTTGAAAACAATGGCATTAGTATTAGCAATTCATTAAACCACGTGTAAACACAGCGCTAAAACAAAAATTATTATCATTAGAAGGTTCTGGAGATTTTTGGAAGGACCTATCTCTGGAACGCTTTGGATACAAAGTGTTTCATTTTTAGTTGTGATTCTGCATATCAGCTGTGAGGAAACTGTGGCCAAGCTCAAGCTCAAATTTGCCAAACATACAAATGTTCGAGCCGAATGACAAAAATTATTGAATTTGAAGTATATAGGTTTTGTTCCAAAGCGTTGCATCTATAGACTGGACGACATAGGATTTTTAGTGTTTTTCATAGAATAAAAAAAACGTTTGAATTAATCAATTTTGAAAAATTTTAAAAACGAGGAGCTGCTGCTTCAACATGCTGGCCGGTACTTCGCTTTTCGACATTCGAAGGAGACAAATTGATACGCTGAAATTTTTCAATAACTAGTAAGCATTGAAAATGCATTTTGAATGTCATTCGAAATTGGTTTTAATTAAATTGAATGCGATTTGCAGTGTGACCGAAGTGAAAACGAACGAGGAATATTCCGTGGGTTTTCAATCGGACGATCGACAAATGCTGCTAAATGTGTATCTCGGAGTAAATTTCCCAAATGATAAGCCGAAAATTGTGGTCACCCCAAAAATACAGCACGAATGGATACCAGATCCAGCGAATGGCGAAGTGCAGACCGCCCCAGGTCTACGAAATGTAAATGAAATCATTGTTCAAATTGAAATAAGCTCTCAACACGTTTCTCCTTCATTTTTTTACAGTTCTCATTGCATTCCGATCTTGGACGTGTTGTCCAAGCGATAATTCGTGAGTTTGAAAAATTCCCGCCACCTCTGTGGCCAAATTCCAGCGCAGGAAGTGTTCAACCAAAGCCAGCTCAACCGCATTTACCCGAACTGAACAAATCCTCCATTACAGAATTGTGTAATTTATCGTTTGAAGACGATATTCAAGAAAACACATTGGATGACAACAATGAACAGACTACGTTCAAGTCCCACAACACAGGAGTTGTAGATAGAAACGTTTTCGGTTTGAATTTAAATGCGTAGTTTTGAGATTCGATCAATGATCATCACCGTAGACCAACAAGTGTGAAAGTCCCTAATATGCTATTCATTTCCCATTGTTATAGCCAACCATCCCAATAAACAATTATGAATTGAAACGAAAATCTCAACATGAAACTACTTCTATTTCAAAGAAACCGAAAACACTAAAAGGGATCGACGACATATGTGACGACGTAATTGATTTGATTTTGTGTCGTTTGGAACTTAAAGAGTTGGCAAACATTTCCGACACCAACAAACGGCTTCGAAATATTGCTGGATCAGTATTCTCCCGAAAATATGGAAATCATTTAATATCAATTGAACACATTCCGAAGATGACCATTAACCCAGGATTGTTCAAAAGTGTACCGCTCCTTCCGATTATTCATAGGTACAAACAAATCGTTAGGATTGAAGATGCCAAAGTTTGGTTTAAGTTACTGCGAAATTTCGGAGAGTACATCAAATGTATTCGCCTCCTTTATTTAGATCATCCGGCATATATTCGCCTCCTACGTACATTTGGACCGAGTTTTCCTTTTTGCACTTCAAACTGGAAACGCGTTTTAGAATATGTTTCCGAATATTGTGCTGATTCAGTGGAGGTAATGGAAGTAGCGGGCTGTCCATTGTTCTCATTGAATAAGCCATTGATAAGAATTCAGAAATTCATCATTCATAAGTGCGACGACATGGGATCATTGGAATTGAATCAAAATCTATGTGCAATGCATTTATCATGTTGGACAAAGACAATCGAAAAACACCTACCAAAATTGACAAATGCTAAGTTGCAATTGACTAGTGAAAGTACAGTGAATTCTTTTTTTTCTTTTTTGCGCATGAACCGACAAATCAAAAAGTTAACATTGGGCATTCAAACACCTGATCATAATTACAACGATCTAATATATTCGTCGATCGATGAAAATTTAACGCAACTGAAAAAATTGACATTATTCATAGGATCTATGCGTGAAAGAGATCCGATGAAACCAATTCCAATTAATCGTCGGTTCAAAACAATTGATCAATTTGCCCTCATGGGAAATTCTTGTGCCCGATTGGAATTATTTGAGTTTAATGATCTCAGGAAATTAACATTAGGAAGAGTTTATAGCATGGAGGATTCATTTAACTTCATATTGCGACATAAAAATTTGAAAATATTAAAATTACACAATTTTTACAATTGTAAAGACGATCCAAATTTCCGAACAATGCTAGAAGAATTACGTGACTTGGTGAAAGTCACCATTATACCTGCTTTGAAAAAAGAATCAGCAATGTGGAAGTCAGCCTTCGGAATGAAATGGGAATGTATGGAATACGAAAATTATGTTGAACATAAAGTTGTTTTGAAATTTTTCAAAAAAGTTTAAAAATGGTACAATCTCATTACTATGTTATATCACTTAATTTCTGTGAATTTTTTCTCGATCTACTCAATTCTTACACAAAATAATTTTATATAAATGTTCAACTCAGTTAATATTTTATGATATCGAAAGAGACAATGCAAAAAACAAGACTATTATTTCGAATAGGAATAGAAAGTCACAATTTGATTTCGATTCATTGTTCAATAAATCGTTTGCATGATAAGAAGATGCATTTCTAAAATTAAGAAAAAGTAATCATTGTATAAAAAAAGAACGGTCGAAATGTTCGAAAATGAACTTCTTGGACGATACAATTTAAATAAAATCTCTTTAGTTTGTAGACACTATAGACTGAGCTCCAAACGAGCATTTTTATTTAAAAAATTTCCTCACAAAACGTCTCCATTCGCATAGCAATAGTCATTGGACGTGTTCACTTTCGATCAGCTGATTCGCATGTATCTCTGTTATGTGAAGCAGTTCATCTATGTGTGACTTCATATGATGAAATGAGACAGATAGAGTCATATGCGTCAATACAGTCTTGTGTATTATGAAAACCATGTCAACAAACAAGGTAACAACAGTATGCGCTTAGCAAACTCCTTATAGTCGAACAATTTAATTGCAATCTTTTAACCATGGATGATTTTGTCTAATGCAGAAAAAGTTAATTTCAATACACATCCGTTCAGTTATGGGAATGTGTTAATTTAACTTTAATGAATAGCCCACACGGTATAGGTATGAATATTTATTTGCCGTTTGATATGCAATTACGCGGTCAGTCGTTGTCGCGAGGGGAAATCACTTGAAAGTAATTGAAATGTCACAAGTAATTATGATAATAGAAAATTAATAGAAAAAGTAATTTTTCCCGAAAAAAGTAATTGAGGTAGATGTCATCAATCGGCATAAACCACATACCCGAAGTATTCTTGGATACATTATCGTAAAAAATAAAAAATTAATCGTTTATGAAATAAAAATGAAGATGAAAAAAAAAATAGTTTGGTGTGGGCTCGATTGCGTTTTTTTCCCAAATGCGATATGACTAATGAAATTTGTATAGAAACCTTATTAGAGATACTCAACTAAAACTTACTTCAAGCTCAATTTTATATCTTTCGCCATTTCAAAACCAATGTCGTTTTCAAGAACGAACCAGATATAATTTTCTATTTCAAATTCTATTTTTCGATATGAGTGTAGTGGTTTGTTTAAAACGTTTGTTTGTTGGTTTGACACTGTCAAACTTTGACATAAACGTCTAATTACTTTCGTAATTTACTGAAGTAATAGCGTGCCAAAAAGTAATTGAAAAGTAATTTGAAGAGTGATTTCCCCCTCGCGTTGTCGTTGTTATTATTGGCCAATGCATATTTCAAATGCTAATATTTAGATACGAAAATGATTCAAAAGTTCAGTCATCTGTAAATTAGATTGAGCACTGAGCGTTGAGTTGATTATTTTCGGCCAACGTCCGATTTTTAAATTTGAATTGGACGTAGGAAAAATGCTCCCCACACTTGATGCATCTACATAGAACTCGTTTGTGGTACGCCGATGAAGCGCGTAGTAGGTATGCTCCCAACAGCTCCACCTTTATCGACAAGACAACGAAGAGACAGTGTGTAAGTGAGCGCATATATAGCAACATCTTACGTATTTGATATGTTCGCTTTGACGATTGAGTCTTTCCTAATTTTGTACATGCCCAAGTCGATTTACTTGAGTTCATTTGTGGAAATTTGGAGCACTTGAAATGCAGAACAGTAGACAATTGACAAGTTTCAAACTTTAAAATACTGAAAATGCAAATGTGAAAATCGATACAATCGCAGCGAGTGAACAAATTATCGATGATTACATTAAAAATTTATAGATAGACCTAATTACGACGACGAGTTATTTTTCCCTGGCGAAAAAATTGTGAATCTAATGGAAAGAACCTACGAATAGATTTATTGAAATGAGAAAGTTGTAATACTTGAGGACGATTTCGTTGATAACAAGCAAATTAATTGATTTTTGCCCCGCGCTGTTATCGCAATATACCAGCTAATTTAGGCCAAGTGATCGCAACGGATTGTCATTTTCCTTAATTCAATATTGTGTGTTGTCGTTTCGTTAGAGCGACATCGTTGCAGAAGCAACACAAATTCGTTCTATTTTTCTCTTCGTTCGTTTGTTCGGCAGTTTATTTACATACATTTTCCAAGCATATGTTTTTGTTTTCGCAAAAAAAAACGGTTAGAAAGTGAATAAAAATAAAAATGGAAAGAAAAATGGATGGAAAAGCGCAGAGAAGAAAATATTTCTGTGAAAACTATTGAAAACTAAAAGTCAAGCAGCAAGCTGTATGCTCATTAGTTACATGAAAGTGGAGCACAAACCGATATCTAAATAAAGTACACATCGAAAGCACTCAGCGCTGCAATCTGTTGTTGTTCGGGTCAACTGACTGTGTGTATTACACATGCAGTATATTTTTCCCTGAATTTATTAAAAAAAAAAATTACGCGTCATTAAAAAGTCAGACATACGACAGTCGGGGCATAATTGTCACAAAGCAACTTCGCCGAATTAGCACAAAGCGATTCAGTGCAGTTCGAACAGTTTCCTTTTTTTGAGATCAAGGGTAAGTGTTAATTCGTTCCTATTAGTTACCACATTTTGTGATTAGTTTTTTTTTTCGTTGTCTCCTGAGACATTAGTCATCAGGTAAAATCGTAAAATGTATTGACTAAATCAATATGTTTTGTAATCAAGATTGATGTTTTCAATTATCGCCTGATTAATGGCATTCCCAAATGCTAAATCAGATTATCCCCCAAAGGGCTTTTTTAACATGAATTCTATTTCTTGCAATTGACCTAAAAATCGAACGTATCACATGCGTAGTATTCAATTGCTGCTTTCCATCTCAATTCTAGCTTATGAAATCGTGAGCCCCAAATAATGTGCTCTATCAGCCCAATTACGAACTACTAGCAATAATAAATGTATATATACAATGGCATCGAGTGCTTGGAATTTCAATGGTCATATTCAGCTGTTAGCCCAAGACCATTAAGTTCTCAATTTTACTGAACGGCCCATATGAGAGAAACTATTATTAACAGCAGCTTTCAATACAGCAAGCAAAGCAAATGGCTTTTGGCCGCTTTCCTCATTCAATGCAGAGCGATTATTTTGGTTCGATAATCGCACTGAACAAAGCATTCTACAGTTCAAAGCATACACTTGTATGACATGATTTTCGGTTGTATTCATTCTCGTTTGCTTCTCTTCTCGATTTTCAATTCGTTTTCTCTGCTTCTCTGTCTCTTTCTGTCTATCTGCTTTTCCTCTTTGCAAATGCTCTTCGATCGCACTGTGGAAACGTTTTATGCTTTAAACGCACTCACACAGCAAATCAAAAAAAAAAACCAAGATGCACCGATGTGAGAAGCACATCGACCGAAAGAGAAGCACACAAATGGCAAGCAGCAATAGAACGAAACACATGCTTCAAAATCAAGTATTCAAGAAGCAAGCCCCTTAATCTTAATAACCAACACATCTGTTCAGCTACTTCAATACTTTTCACGCTTGTCAATGTGTGACACAAACACACCGAGTGCGAGTGTATGTGTGTGTGGCTCGTGTAAAACTATAGAGTGACTAGGAAGGTGTTTGATTTCCAGCAAAAAAAAAATTAATTAATAATCACAATTTCAAAATGATCGAATTCTTGTCGTAGACATGCGAGCAATTCTAACAAATAAATTTTACTATGGAAACGAAAAATGAGGCAATCGGGCAACATTTCAAAGTTGTAATGTCACCAATACTCGCAACACCCTAATCATGCGAACAAAAACAACATGGCATACACAGTTTTGATACGACACCACTACACATTCACACAACATCAGTCAGCACACACATAAACGAATAGCAAAACACACGAGCAGTGCATGAAATGTTTCAGCATGTCAGTTCGAAGGAAGCACAAGGTTGAAAAGCATTCAGTATACACACATTTTCATATCAGACATTTCGTATTTCGTACACACAACGTTTTATATATTTTTTTATATGCCTCTGTCGTAATAACTGTGCAAAGAATTTAGTCAGGCAAAGGCGTACACCAGAGCCGCAGAAAAAAGTTTGGAAATTCCAGAAAGAGAAAAAAAGGATTTTATCCATAAAATATTCATTGGAGAAAAACGAAGAGAAGAAAAATCAAGTGAATTAATTGGTGAAGCAAATAAAAAGAAGATCAAAAGATTGAAAACGAGAAACGTCTTGTCCTTCGTTCAGCTGAGAACGGAAAAGTGTGATCGAATCAAAGGCCAATAAAATCTCGTAAGTTTTTTTCTTTCCTCATCACATACCTTTTTTTCACTGTCTATTTCATCGTCTCAGATTTAATTTTTTTTTCGCGTAAAATGTGAACTGATTCTTAATGATTTTGTATAAAGTTTTGCAATTTGAAGATGAAACCTAAATAGATTTCATAACTAAATAGTCAACGTGTGGTTTTGCGACGACACCAAATATAAATTACGGTTCTCCATTTTTCTTTCTTGTATGTGTTTTTTCTTTCTTCTGTTTGTTCGTTCGTTCGTTCGTTCTTCGCCTAAATCGGGATGGCATCGCGCATTGGTGTGAATTTCGTATAGAATTTCGTCATTTCAAGCGAAATTGTTTTTGTGGCGGTTCAGCTCCAAAACACGGACTGATGAGTCAATAAAATGATATTAAAACATTCGTCACTTCGTCTGATACACACACTTCGCTCCACTGAGGTGGAACATATTCCAAATCGCGAATATCGTTGTTTTTTTTTCCTTCTCGCAATTTCCATAATCGTCTGTTCCTTTGATCTTCGTCGTCAGATTAACAAAAAAAAAATCGTGTCATTTCGGTGGGATATTGGAAAAAATATGTTTTTCAGAAAAATACAATCTGCATTGAGCTGTATTTGATGCAATCACAAAATATACGTGAACTGAAAGGCAACATACAGAGAAAAAAACACACAGATTTGATTAAGCGTAATAAAATAATTAAATTGAAAAGGGCACTGCATCGAAGCAGATCATACTGAATTGTTGACTGTGAAGGAAAAATCGATTTTTGTTCGATATTGCAATTGCTAAGTGCGTAAATTCGCCGAAATCAGTTCAATATTATGCAATATCCGTATTTGATGTTCCAATTTATCGCTATTTAGCACTTTTATGAAAAACATAATTTTTTGCTATTGAACGACGGCAAAGAATGAAAAAAAGAAGTAAAAGACGTCTCCCCAATTTCGTGATTACATGTTGAAACAGGAATGTGGTGAGTTTTTCATGT